AAGTAAGAAATAATAGAATAATGTCTGTTTGTGTTTTATTGACTATGCAACAGCATTTGACTGTCTGGATCATAACAAGTGTGGCTGACATTGAGAAGAATGAGAATCCCACAGGACTTGATGGTGCTTATGCAGAACCTCTACCTGGACCAGGAGGCTGTTGTGCAAACAGAGTAGGGGGACACTGCATAGTTTGGAAATGGGAAGGGAATGTGCCAGGGCTGTATTCTCTCTCCACACCTATTCAGTCTGTATGCTGAGCAAATTATCTGAGAAGCTAGACTCTATGAAGAGGAGTGTGGCATTAGGATTGGCAGGAGACTCATTGATAATAACACAATCTTGCTTGCTGAAAGTGGGGAGGACTTTTGAATCATTTGTTGCAGAAGATCAAAGAGTGCATTCCTTCTCAATGTCAAGAAAACAAGGATTTTTACCACTAGACTGATAGGCAGTGTCATGATGGATGGAGAGAAGATTGACACTGTCAACAGCTTCGTCTTGTTTGGACCCACACTTAACACCCTTGGTACCAGCAGTCAGGAAATAAGGGGACCCATTGCACTGGGAAAATCTGTAGTTAGGGACCTCTCCAAATTACTGAAGAGTAATGTCAGTTTGAAGACTAACGTGCATGTGATTCAGGCCATGGTCTTTTGAATTACTTGCTGTGCATCTGAGAGCTGGTCAGTGAATAAAGATGATAGGAAATCATTGATGCCTTTTGAGTTGTGGTGTGGAGATGAGCATTGAACATCCCATGGACAGTCAAGAGAACAAACAGTTATGTCCTGGAGGCATATCTTGATAGATGGAGAAGATAGAAATTATCAATGATATCATTCAACTTGGATCCACAGTCAGTACTCATTGTAGCAGCAGTCAAGAAATCAGAAGACAAATTGTTTTATATAGAGTTGCTGTAATTTGGAACCAACTCTGCATCACCTAACAATACAATTTATGTTGTTTGGTAAAAAAAGACTAGACATTTGAAGTCTTGCTTCTTTTATTTTTTCTCACAATTATTTTAAAGCTTTGTTCTTTGATTTTTTCATTTGATCGTCACCCTGTTACTTAACATTTTTATTTCTCTTAACACTTGTCATGTTTTCCAAATGTGAAGACTGCTGTCTTTCATCACCTGTGGAAACTTTATAGTCATTGTCTCTTTAAATATTTTTCTACTTCTAGTCTACTTTTCTGGAATATCTCTTAGACATGTAGACCCTTCTCATGCCTGTGGAATCTTCTGGACAATTTCCTCAAAAGTGTCCTTCAGTTCACTTATTCTTTCTTCAACTGTATAATCTTTTGCCTACCTCACTGAGGTTTTTGCATTCTTTATGTTATCTTTAGAAAATATTTTATAGGTCGTGAACTTTTGAGGGTAAGTTTGTCTGTTTTCATATTTACAAATCTTTTTTCGCCTTTGTTGTTGATATGTACTGTCAAGTTAGAGCTGACTCATAACTGACCCTCCAGCAGATTTTCAGAGGC